ATTTGCCTCAGTTTTGTGGAAAGATCCTCTGGACAATACATGGCATGGTCCAGACCCTGTCCTCATTTGGGGCAGAGGGTCTGTCTGCATTTATTCTCAAAAAATGGATGTTGCTCGTTGGTTACCAGAAAGATTAATCAAACAGATTGATTCTAACAAGCCATCCAGGGATGAAGAAAATCCTGAGATATCTCTCTCTCCTTCCACAGATCCACAAAATGAAGATACATTAACTCCAACAGTCTCTCCAACAACATAGAAAACAACTCGCCGATGGTCTGCCTGGAACGGTCTCCTCCTTTTTCCACTTCCCCTCCTTGGCCCATTCATTGGCTTTTTAATTCTGTGCTCACTGGGACCTGTTATATTTAATAGACACATGTCATTCCTCAAACAACAAACTGACTCACTTATGGAAGATCAACACCAGCACCCCTATACTTGTCTCGCCTGAGGCGCTGAATTGGTTAGCCAAAGATGGGTAAGAGAGTCTGAACTATTCAGTCCTTCCACCTAAGACAGGAGGCCCATCATAGCTACGGGACTCTCCAATGACGGGTAAGAATGGACTTATGGTTCCATAAACGACTTCAACCTAAGACAGGCACGATTCCTACAGGCCTTTTCCTCATTTCTCAAATTAAAACAGAGAAGGAGGATATATGGAAGGCTGTGCACCAGCAAGTCTGCTGAGGTTTCTCAGAGAGCAAATAATTGTCATGATTGGTTCCCTTCAAAAAACCTGACCTTCAAAACCTTGCTCTGATTGGCCACTAGAATCCCTCAAATTTACATATCCAGCACCTCATGATTGGTCCAAAAGCAACCAATCATAACTCACCTTTTACAACCAGTCACAGCCCACCTTTTACAACCAATCACAGCCCACCAGTATGTATATAACCACGATGCCTGGTCCACAGTAGCAGACGATGACCCTGGAGAGCCTGAAGAGTTGAAACACCGCACAGTCTCCAGACGACCCTGAAGACCCTGAGGAGTTGTAACACTACATCGTCTCCAGAAGACCCTGAAGAGCTGTAACATTACATTGTCTCTGGAAGACCCTAAAGAGCTGTGACACCACATCGTCTTCGTGCTGCTCACAATAGACGACATGACCCTGAAGAGTTTTAACACTGCCTCGTCTCTGTGCTGTACCGTGCTGCTCACAATAAACGGACGACCCTGGAGACACTGTGTCGTCTCCGTGCTGAAACACTGCACCGCTTGTCCTGGCTCTCACTCCTTCCCTCAGGAAACCTGTTCAACTGTCCCCCAGGTCAGGACAGGGAGTGACCATGCCAAACCCATGATGGGCAGAGCGCTGACTGTCCACTGCCCTGTCCTCACTCAGCCCCGCCCAGCCCCTCCCATCCAAATGGCCACAGATCTAACACAGCAAACACGGGGTCTTGGCAGTTCTCAGGCTCTATTTTCTCAAATGAGTTTAAAATATTTTTTCTGATTTAATTTACCCATTAACTACATCTAACACCATTTAAAAATACAAATTGATATACAGATTCTTATTTTGAATAAAGAAGCAGGAAGTTGCAGCTCCGTGTGCCCCCAGGGGAGATAGGGTGGGGACGTCCTGTTCTGCCCCTCCTGGAGCAGGAAAGCTGGACAAGGCAGAGGGCACATGGCAGTGGAGAGGGGCCCTGGTGTCGGGGACGGGCTGAGTCCCTGTGTCCTCACATTAGGCCGCAGGGACACAGACACACAGACATGGTCAGACGCCAGGTGCAGGAAGAGCAGTCGGGGACACTGACGTCACAGTGGTGGGTACAGAGACTGAGCAATCCCGTGTCCCTCTGTCCTCACAGGCCGCCGTCTCACACTAAGAAGGAGAGAATCATGAACAACTCACGTCAGTCACTGTAACAAGAACCTCTGATGAGGCCTTCATGTGTTCGACACGTCCCAACCCAGATCCCCACAGCCCAGTACTGTCCCTTCCCCACCCCCAGCCCTGCAAGTTCTCAACTTTAGGAGAGGCACATCAGAGCCCTGGTTACTGTTGCTGCCTGGGGGGACAAACACACCCTGGTCAGAGCCACAGGGGAGGAGCTAAAGGAGGAATATGGCGAGTGTCCCCAGGGTCTCCTGTCTGTGCTGTCCCAGGGGTCAGGTTGCCCTCCCCTCATACTCATGGGCAGTCTGAGCATAGTGCCCTTTCTTTCTACCTGTGAGGAGAAAACACCTGTGAGGGACAGGTCCATGGGGTCCTCAGAGCCAGTAACCCTGGGCCCCAGAGAAGTTTCCAGAACTGTGATTACAGACCCAGGGCAGGGTCAGGGAATGTGAGGATGGAGATGCAGGAGGGAGACCAACAGTCCACTTGGAGGACCGTCCTTGGCAGGGACTGTCCCTGTGATCTCTGACTGCTGGGAACCAGGTCCCTATCATCACCATCCCCAGGTGACAGGCATGTGACTGATTTTCACACCTTACAGAGGAGTGAGCAGCCTCAGCACAGAGGCCCTCAGCCTGGGTGAGCACGTGTGTGTGGTGGCACCTCCCAGTCACCAGGCAGGGCACCCCACCTGGGACAGAACAGCTCAGACCTCCCCTTCCTACCTGAGCTCCTCCTCCAGATCACAATGGCTCCCGTGACCAGAACTCCAAGGAGAACCAGGCCAGCAGTGATTCCCACAATGAAAACGGTGACTGAGGACGTGGCTCTGGGAAGGGAGGAGAGGGGAGGTGAGGGCCCTGACCCCCAGGCCTCAATACTGACCCTGCTGAGGTCTCAGGAAGGGTTCCTGCTTTCCCTGACAAAAGAGCTCTGAGCCCCCTCTTACCCCATCTCAGGGTGAGGGGCTCAGGCAGCCCCTCATGCTGCACGTGGCACGTGTATCTCTGCTCCTCTCCAGAAGGCACCACCACGGCCGCCCACTTCTGGAAGGTTCCGTCCCCTGCAGGCCTGGTCTCCACCAGCTCCATGTCCTGGGTCTGGTCCTCCCCATCCCGCTGCCAGGTCATGGAGATCTCCGCAGGGTAGAAGCCCAGGGCCCAGCACCTCAGGGTGGCCTCCTGGTCAGAGGTGGGGTGGTGGGTCACATGTGCCTTCGGGGGGTCTGCGAGGAAGAGTCAGGAGGAGATTCAGACATGTTGAGGCCCCTCCCACTGTCCAGGAAGCTGCCCTGTGTGACCATCTGGGCATGGATGGGACACCTGGGCTGGGGAGGTGGCCACTAAACTTGGGCTCAGTGTCTGGGAGGATCTACTCCTGGGAAGGCTCTGAATTTGGGGTGAAGAGTGAGGGGTAGGATCCAGGTCTCTGAAGCGGAAGACAGGGACTTCAGATCATGACATGGATGGAGGAGACTCAGAGTAACTGGACTCAGCTCTCACTGAGATGGGTGGAGCCAAGATCAAGGCCTGAGAACTGCAGCCAGAGTCAGAACTGTCCCCAGTGTGTTCCCAGAGACTGACCCTTCACTGTCTTGAGAGGAGGGGGCTCTGGGTGAGTCATTCTCTGGTGCAGGACTTGAAAAGTAGGAGTGAGAGTGATTCCTTATCTTGGCATCAATCCCGGTTTCTCTTTCTCTTTCTCTCTCTCTCTCTCTCTCATTTTCATGTTTTTGCTGTAGGGCATGCACTCACCAGGGTGAGAGAGAAAAAGAGACAGTGAGAGGGAAAATGAGAAATCACCCCCAGGAAGATTGCCACAGGGCATCCCTTCACTTCCATTCTCCTCCCTAGATTTTGGGCACACGCAGGTCCTGAGCTGATTTTCCAGTCACCTGTGTGAGTCTCACACAGCGGTCACCCTGTGGGCGTCAGCACTTTACCCAGGACACCAAACCCCACTCTCTTCCCCTCCGTGTGGGACAGCAGCCCCAGCAGAACAGGAGACTCAGGAACCCCCGCCACCCCTGGTACCTGCGCGCTGCAGCGTCTCCTTCCCGTTCTCCAGGTAGATGCCCAGCCACTGCACGCACGTGTCCTCCAGGTAGGCCCTGCGTTGTTCCGCCACATCAGCCGCCTCCCACTTGCGC